TGGGTCAGGTCAGCCCCTCCCGTCCCCCCTGTGTGTCAGGAGGCTGTGAATTCTCCACACTGTGGCTTTCCCTGCTTGGGGCTTGCCCTCCTGAGCTCTGCCCCCTGTGGCATTCCTTAGATCCCAACGTCACACTGACCGCTCAATACTGTGTCCTGAAAATGGACCCCCAGACTTCCTGCTCCTCGTAAGGATGAGTAAGGCTCGTGACAGATGTTGCCGGAATGAATTGGAGGGTGTGCGGATGAGAGGCCCGGAGATCTGTTTAGGAAAGCAAAGAATATGTACATCCCAGAGAGAATTCGGTCATCTCCAGGTAATGGACACTTGGGGGATCTCAAGCTCTTCTTTTAAAGGAAACTTGGGGAGGGACAGGCTTGGGAAGGTATGTGGGGATGACATTAGTCTGGCGATCACAAGACCCTTGGTGGTGGCCTGGTCATTCTCAGGATTCTCAGGCTGACGTGGTCTCCATGATCTGATTAGTAGATAATGTTGGAAAATCCCTAAGTTACAGGTTTCTTAAAATATCCCACCTCTCTCTCTGCTTATTCTACGTATTATGTGGGCCAATTAACAGTGCACAGGGTAATTTCCATAAGTGGGTGAATTTCCAGTAACTCTAGGATTTGCAGATTTCCCAGAAATTTTGGAGTGACAGGCCTGAGAGCAGAAATTAGTCAGGGAGAGACTGGGGAAGAACTGTAAGTGGAACAAAAGACGAAAATTGTATTTTCTTATCCTTCCTTTTATCTCCTTTTTAACCTTTATTCTTTTTATTTCTTTCATCCTACCTCAATACTAGGGAGGGAAGGTTTTAATTCTAAGTACCGTGAACCATCACCTTCACACCAGTCTCCATCTCTAACATTGACACATGTGTGCGCGCTCGTGCGCGCACACACACACACACACACACACTCATGTAACCAAAGTCCTAGACCAACCAGAGGCCCGACTCTGAGAGACCTAATGATCAGCTACTTGACCCTGAAACCAAACAGATGGTGAAAAGCAGGAAATGGATTTATTCAGGGCCAAGGAGGCTGAGGCAGGAGGGTTGCAAGTTCAAAGCCAGCCTTAGCAAAAGCGAGGCCCTAAGCAACTCAGTGAGACCCTGTCCCTAAATAAAATACAAAATAGAGCTGAGGATGTGGCTCAGCGTTCAAGGGCCCCTGAATTTAATCCCTGGTATCCCCTCTCCCCCAAAAAAAGAAAGGATGTTAGAGATGGAGGAATAGATTGGAGATAAAAGTTGGGAGGGGGTTCCAGCCTCCCCAGTCTCCCCTTTGTCTTCCCAGTAGAGATGCATTGAATCAGTTTCCTTCCTGCTTTGCACCATCAGTTTTTCCACTTGGTTTTGGGGGTGCATGGCTAGACCTGATCCATTGGGACCCCCCGAGTTGCTCTCTGGCCTAGGACGTCAGTTGCACACTAAAGTCAGGGTAATATGGACCCTGGATGCTGTGGGTGTTGTTTTGTCAGGAAGAAAAAAAAGAGGTAGAATCTCTAGCATCGTTCGTTTGGTATTTTTCTTTTCTCTTTGGATTCATACTTATGGATCCCAATCTTGCTTTATTTCTCTCGGATACCAGGCCACTGGTCGGGTAGGAAAGTGTCCAAGTCTCTTCCTAAGAAAAGAACCACAGGAGATCCAGAGAGAGACAAGAGAGAAGAAGACCTGGAGTAAGTTATATAGGTTTTGCCAACCGGGGACAGGCAGTGCTGTCACCAGGAGGCACCCTGTCCCACGTGGGGTGGCAGGAGGCAAGACCAAAAGGCTCTCCGTTCCAGCAAGGCTCAGATCGGTAGGAAAACAGGTCTTACTCAAAGCCGGCTAGCTTTGAAGGAAGGTGGTAGAAACGTCACTGTTTCAAAAATTCTCTCTCTGAAAAGCTCTGGGGAGAGGAACGCTTTTAGGAAGGCAGAGGGTAGGACAGAAGGACAGAAGACAGGAGTTCACGGGGTCTCAGCCCCTGGAGTCCTTTATCAGATCAGAAGGAGCTAGGACTTCCTGGGTCCAGGGTCTGTATCCCCCTTTGAGATCAACACATTGTCTTCTGAGGAGAAGAAAGGGTTCCAGGAGGAATTCTACAGAACGTTGAGTAACAAAAGAAAGGTTGTTCGCCCAGCAGGGGTGGTGGTGGTCCATGCCTGTCATCCCAGGGGCTCGGGAGGCTGAGGCAGGAGGATTGCCAGTTCAAAGCCAGCCTCAGCAAAAGTGAGGCCCTAAGCAGCTCAGTGAGACCCTGTCTCTAAATAAAATGCAAAACAGGGCTGGGGATGGGGCTCAGTGGTTGAGTGTCCCTGAGTTCAATTCCTGGTATCCCCCGCTCCCCAAAAGAAGAAAAGATGTTAGAGATGGAAGAATAGATTCAAGATAAAAGTTGGGAGGGAGTTCCAGCCTCCCCAGTCTCTACTCTCAGTATGAGGAAGCCATTCCCTATTTATGATGGGGGACAAATTCAGTCTGTTTCAGTATGTCCTAGGCTCCAACAAACACCAACTAACCAAGCCAGGGGAACACAACGGAGTCTGTGGCCAAAGCTCTCTTGAAGTGATGAATAATTCCTCTCACTTTTTTTTCTCTATATCTAGAGGAAGGGGGTGGGAGCACTGAAACCAGAGTTTCCCCACTTCCGCCTGCAGGTGAGGTCTGCACAAGCCGCAGGCCTCTGCAGCCAGGAGTGTTGAGCTCTTAATGGCAGGCCCTGCCTGCCTGCGTTTCAGCCAACCACAGCGGCTCGCCTCAATTTCTTCTTCTTCCTGGTTCTTATCTCATGAATTTGAAGAATGAAATCCACAGATCAGGATGTGAGTGTGAGCATGGGGTGTCTTCAAACACACAAAGAAACAAAACTCTCACAGGGTGCACGGGGGCCCAAGAGGGGCTGCCATCTGTGCCAGTCTAGGGGTTTATAGAGCACTTGGGTCAATGCTCTCCGTCCAAAATTATGCTAATCAGGGGTTTGGAAAAACGTATCAATGCTCTTGGTCCAAAACTATGCTGATTAGGGTTTGGCAAAGTACTGACGCTATTGGTCAGCACTGAATCCCGTTCAGGTTTGCCTTCCTACAGTTTTCTCCCTGCTTCTTGGACAGTGGGAGGTTGAGGTCAGTGAGTGGCGCATGCTGGGGGCAGGGGGTGTCTGGAGTTACCCCACTGCACAGAGCTGGTGCCTGCACTGAGCCAGGCCAAGCTGTGCTGGGGTGACAGCTCAGTGCACCTTCTTTCATCCACAGCACTGGCCCTCCCTGCCTCAGGCCCCATTCTGAGGAACCCACCCACGGGGTCCCTCTGCTGCTCCACTGCCACATTTTGGCAGGGACCAGAGGGATAGCTGCGCTGCCTGGCAGCCAGGTCATGTCCGCAAGACACTCGAGAACCTGGGTAAAAGTTTCTCTCTCCTCGGCTTTCTCGGAATGTCCTCCCCAGATGTAAAAAACAACCGATATCAGCGAGTGGCCTTGCATCTGTTGGGTCTCAGAAAATGATACCCCAAAGTATGGGGCTTTGGCATCCTGAGTAGTCTGCCCCAAAGAAGAGCCAAAGTCTCCCTGCCCTCCCGTGTCTCACCCACCCTTCTCTCTTTCCCCTTGCACAGGAGAGGTTTTCTCTGAAGTTTCTTTATCTGCCTGAAGATAGATCCTTCAAAAGGGAACTTTACTGTAATGTCCAACCTCCCTGGGAGTCTCATCCTCCAGGGAAGATTAACCAGTAGGAGAAGAGATGACCACACCCAATTGCGCATCTTGTTACAGGGCTGGGCACTTTGGGAAATTGAGCCCTCCTTCAAACCCCAATTCTTGCAATCAAGTCAGAAAGACTTCAGACATGTCCCTCAGAGTAGCAGGAATGAGTCTGTGAGAAGGGATGGGGAGAAAGTGTGTCCTCTCCGAGAAGAGAGGGACAGCGCGCCTCTCCTGCACTCCATTTTTGGGGGGGATCTTTAAGTTTCCAAAGAGTCCCACCCAGGTCCACCTCTTGACTTTTAATTGACAGCGAGATGACATCAGACTTTCAAGTCCCCAGGGCCATGACAATTCTAGGTCACCTTGGCCCCTGCTGACCAGTTTTAATTGGATTCTTAACACCATAGATTCTTACAGATTTTATGGTTAGGAGGAACTCTCCTGATCTCTTTGTTCTGGGATCTGGTCTGCATTAAGTGTTGCAAAGGTCCCCTTTCTTTCCCGCCACTTTAGGGTCCCTGGTGTCCCTCTTATCAAAATTATTTCGGGTAGTTTGCTGAAGGATCTAACATACCCCGTCCACTTAAGCTTAAGTACGGCTGCCGGTAGATTGCTTCTTGGAAAAGAACTCATGAGGGGGTCCCCGCACCCAGCACTCCCACCTCTCTGTCCCCTGTCACCCTAAGGCAACTTCTGCTGCCCGACAGACTCCATCTGCACAACATGACGATTTTTATTCACCACGCATGGCCTCCTCTCCTCTCCCCCGGCCTTGACCGTCCCTTCCAGGAACTCCACGCCCCTATTCCTTCCTGTGGTTCAGGATGCTCCAGGACTTGGACCACAGGGCCCTTCCGTGAGGCTTGCATCTTGTGGGACTCCTGTGATTGTGTGCAAAATTAAAATGGTTTTTCTTTTCTCCTATTCATATGTCTCTTGCAGGTTCATTTCGTAGACCCAATTATTGCACGTTCCTAGGGTAAGGCAGAGGCCTTAGGTTGGAGGGGGTTGCTAAGACTGGGTGTTTAACCCACTCTCCTTAGCTCCTCCAAAAATTTGTTGGTCCTTTACTTAAACCAGGGACACCCAGTCACTCCAGCTCAAGACTTTAAAGCCTCCCAGTTACCCCTTCTATTAGGTGCTGTAGACCCTCTTGGTTCTTACCTCCCACTCTCCTCTCCCTGACTCCCTCGTTCCCCACCTCCGTGGCCGCCATACTTCTTCTAGCCGCCATCATCTTCTGCCCTCACAATAGTCTATTTATATTATTTCAAGATTACTTTCCATTGCACAAAACATGAATATATTATCATTTAAAAAAAAAATTCAAACAATACAGATCATCAAAATTCAAGGAGGAATGATGGTAATTTGTTGGGAGTGTTCCAGATATATATATATTTTTTTAGGTCTATTCTTATAGAAAAAAAAAATTTTCAATTTTTTTTCCCCCCTTAATATCCATGGTGTCAGAAATGGTTCTGTTTCTTTCTTTGATCATTTCCTCTCTCTTGGAAATTTCACTGCAGTCAGAGCCACCTTATTTGGTCTGCTGTACAGAATGCACAACGTGACCAGCACCGGGGGACAAGGAGTCCTGTTTCTCTGTTTCCTGGTCTCTCTGCGGCCTCCAATGATCCCCTCTAGAGGTCCCTGGGTGGGTGTTTCCAGAAGAAATTAGCATTTGAATCAGTAGACTCCCTAAGAAAAATCCACCCTCACCCACGTAGGCAGCAGGTGAGGAAGGGCAAATGCAACCTCCCTTTTTTGGGGCTGAGGCATCCAAGGCTTTGAAATTTTCAAAGAGGAAAAAAAAAAAAAATTGAGAACCTGAGAAGAGTCAAGAAAATATTGGTGTTGAGTGTGAGAAACATGCTCACCTGTAGCCAGACACAAAGAGCAGAGTAAGAGACACGAGGTAGGGCAAAAAGTGAGGCCTGACTTCCATGATGATCATGCAAGATCAGGTGTCTAGGGGAGCAGGCACCAAGATGGTGGTCCCCTATTGGGTCATTTAAAGAAATACACCTGTTAGCCCAAAAGGACTGGACCCGCTGCCAACTTCACGGATCATCCCAGCTTTGAATTTAGGAGTGAAGTTTCATGCAGGAATGGGGTGACGCCTCTGATGGATCCACTTTCCTGGTGGGCGACTCCCTGTTAGTCTCTAATTACTTCTTAATAAAAGCCAAGGAAAAAACTAATTAAAAATCGCCTTTTTTCACCCATGGTACTTGCCAAAATGAGTGACAAGGTACTGTCTCACCGCTGGAGAAGCAATTGGAAGGCGCCTATTAAAATTCAAGATGCAAACATCATTTGGCTCAGAAATCCCACCTGTAGAAATCTATTTTCCCGAAATGAAAGCCCCAATACACCTAGAATCACCTTACGGAGTCACACTGCAGGATTTTCATCATTGCTAAATAAGGAGAAATACTCCAATGCCCTCCAGTAAAAGAATGGTTGAATAAGCCAATGAGTTAAATCTAATTGATCTGAAGGGATATCCACATAATGGTAAGGGCAAGTCGAGCAAGAGAACTAAGCATATTGTACCGTTTTTGTAATCGAAGCCAGACCAGAAAACAAACCCATCAACCCTGCATAACCTACGTATCAGGATATGCCCCTGATTAGTAACCTTAGATACTTCCAGGATAAAAGAGGTCAGAAATCATTAGCTTTTACCTAATTCCTTAATTCTTGAAAATAAACATCTAAGCCAGGGGCGGTGGAGCATGCCTGTCCTCCCAGCAGCTCGGGAGGCTGAGGCAGGAGAATCACGGGTTCAAAGCCAGCCTCAGCCAAAGCAGGGGCTAAGCAACCCAGGGAGACCCTGTCTCTAAATAAAATACAAAAAAAGGGCTGGGGATGGGGCTCAGTGGTTAAGTGCCCCTGAGTTCAATCCCTGGTACCAATAATAATAATAATAAGATAAAATTAGACACCTATTAATATAATTCTTGCAAATCTAATAAAATAAAAGGCTGCTGCTCCCACTTGTTCTGAAGGGCACACTCCTCAACATGACATATGAAATCCCCCTGGCCTGGCCCCTGCCACTTCTATGGCTTCGTGTCTCCCCCAATGGTTTCTTAAATAGGGCATCTTGCATCGGCCTCTGGACCCTCGCACACTAATCCTGAAAGCAGCGTTCGTTCCCTTTTCCACCTGGTAAAACTCAGTTTTCAAGACCCACCTCCAAATGGTCCCCTCCACTGTCTCTTCGAATCTCGATGGCATTGGCACTGTGTCGTACTTTGTGTGTTCATGTGCGCACATCTGGGGTGCCACCTACTTTGTGCTTGGCCGGCATGCATGAAGGTTGGGATGCTGGCCGAAAGAATTAAAATTAATCCACTTGGTGTTTTTCGTCAGTTTGACCCAGTGATAGCATCACTGAGACTGTGTTTTGATGGCTCGTGTTTTTGATGAGCCGTGGCGTGTGTGACATTTTATAAATAGGCCCCTGGGGCTTCATTGGACATTTTTTTTCAAAAGTTGAAACACGAGCAACCACAGTTTTCCAATAACTAGAACCCATTTTTTTTTTTAATTTGGATTGAATTCATGAGTAGGGAATAAAATATGGATTTGCTTTTTTGGAAAGTTCCACCAATAGTCTCACCTTCTTTGCTGTCTCCTAATGGATGCAGTCCTGGTCCTGAGCCTGTCTGCACTTGGATCCATTCCCGGCCCTTTCCCAGCTCTGCTCTGTGTTGCAGAGAGAAGCTGACTCCTGGTTGCTAGTTCTCCAGGCTTCTTCTGGTCCAACTGGTTCCCAGCTGAGCTTTCCTGATGGCAATTGCTGGAGGGAGATTGGAAGGCAGATGGAAGGGAGAAGCCAAGGTACTTCTTCCTGTCCTTGCTTCAGTCACCAGCCTCCCCTCCATCTCCTCCACCCCTCCAATCCTCCATGGGACACTCCATCCCTCATTCCTCTTTTTTATTCTGATTACACTGGGATCCAGTTTTATTGCTTCCTCTTTGTCTCTGTAACCCAAGAGAGCAATAGTAGCTCTCTGTCATTGCTAAATCTCTGGAATTTCCGGTGTTCGTTTGCTTTTGCTATGAAACAAACTACCCCAACGTATAATGGTTTAGAGCAACCGTTTGTTTGTGGCTCACGGTCTGTAAGGTAGCAATTTAGGGCTGGGATCATCTGGACAAGTCTTGGACTCTGCTCTTAGCTAGGCCTGCCCAGGCACCTGCAGTCAGCTGCCAAGTCTGCAGCAGGGGTCCCGCTTTGGCGGGTCCATGTCATCTCTCATAATTCAACCCTCTGGCCCAGGCATATTCAGTTGGTTCTAAGAAAAAAAAAAAAATCTCTCGAAGCCCAAGCTTGGAACTTGTACCATATCACTTCCTCCCAAAGGAAGTCGTAAGAGTTGCCCAGATTCAAGAGTAAAGAAATTAGCTCCATTGGTTGGCAGGAGACGAGTCATCTGGGGCTATGTTTGCAGTCCACCACACCTGCCCGTCCTGTCCTCCATCACCGACATAACCAAGTCCCCGCATCAACTTCCTGTGTGGTGAATAGGAGAAGTGGTCACTGTTTTCTGGATGGACCCTGTGTGTATGTTTGAATGTGTGTGGGGGAGAGAGGTGTGGGGAAACAGGAAAATTCTATTTCTTGTGGGGACCTTTCACTTCCAACGTTTCTGCGATGCATACCACGGTCCACACTTTTTTTTTTTTCCCAAATTAGTTGATTTGACCCTACATGCACTCAGAACTGAAGAAGAGCTTAGAAGATGGAAAGGTCTCCCATGATCTGGGATAGGCAGAATTAATATAGTCAAAATGACCATCCTACCAAAACTGTTACACAGGCTTCATGCAGTTCCTATCAAAATCCCAATGACCTTCTTCATAGAACTAGAAAAAAAGCAATCATGAAATTCACTGGGAAAAAACTAAGAGACCCAGAGTAGCCAAAGCAATCCTCGGCGAGAAGAGTGAAGCAGGAGGCATCACCATACCAGTCCTTAAACAATACCTCAGAGCAATAGGAATAAAAACAGCATGGTATTGGTACCAAAAGAGACAATGTAGACCAATGGTACAAAATAGAAGACACAGAGACGATACATACACTCAGCAAAGATGAACTGAGTATGTCCCTTGTGGCAAACAAAAGGTATTATGGGCCATGGGGAAGGGGGCAGTTCATGGAACTGAATAAGGCATGGTGCCTGTCTTAAATGAGTGAATACTTGTAAGGACTGAAAGGCCAGGTACACACAAGTACTGAATAGTTCATGCCAAGATGAGGAGGAGGGAGAGGATGACCATGTGTTTCATAACCTATAAAGAAAGATGTGTTCGTCCGCTCTTCGTTACTATGACAAAATGCCTGAACCAACCTACTTAAAGGAGGAAAAACTTATTTTGGCTCACAGTTCCAGAGGTTTCAGCTCATAAATCAGTCCATTGTTTGGGGCCTGAAATAAGGCAGAACATCATGGCAGAAGCGTATAATGGAGGAATACTGGATGCCTCCCAGCATCTGAGAGCAGAAGGGGACAGGGACAGGATATAGTCCCTACAGGAATGCCCCCAAGAACCTCGTCCCTTCAACGAGGTTCCACCTCCTACAGTTTCATCACCCCCTCCCCATAGTCCATTCACCTATGAATCCCTCAATGGATTAATCCACTGATGAGGTCAGAGCCCAGATGATCCCATCACAGCCCAGAAACCCCACCTCTGAATATTGCTGCATTGGACACCAAACCTTCAACACAGGAGCCTTGGGGGGACATTCCAGATCCAAACCATGACAAGAAGTAAATATACTCTGATGAGAGATTTTGTTCTGTCTGCAACCTAGAAAAGCCGGTGCCAGGAGAGTCAAGCCTTCTCTCTGTTGTTGGCCACTCCATCTCCACCGCCTGACAAAAGACCAACATGTGCTAAGTGGTCAATAAATATTCATTGAATGCATGAATAAAAAATGCACACACACACACATCTAACAGGAGGCAGATGTGGAACAAGTTAATTGTGAGAACAGGAGAAAACTTCCTAAAAACAGGCGAGCTCAGAGATCTAGACTGAGAAAGCATGGTCATATTTTTGACAGGAGGAGAAGAGGGCTGGATGGAAATCCAGGGGACTGGCTTGCACAGAGGGGCAGCGGGTTGCAGCGTGGTGACCGCCCTGAGACGATGGGGCTGCTTCCTCTTAGGTTCACCCAGGTATAATTGTCACCTGCATGTACACACTTCAGGGTTAATAGGGTCGTTTCTTGGAGCCCGTCTCACTGAGTACTCAGAAAACAGCTGGAGGTCTGAATGGCCCCCTGTGGGCCCACTGTGTGGACCTTGGGACTACTGCGGGAAGTGACCTCCCCCACCCACCCCGGAAACCCAGGGGCAGCTCTGCATGAATGGGTACAACTCGAGCTTGGGCAAATTTGTCCTTGTGGTTTGGGTGTTTTTGAGTATGTGCCTAGAGGCTGTGGCAGTACATCCCTTTTTAGAATCTAGACAAGCACACAGCGGGGTGGGGGGCAGTCAGAGGCGGTAGCATATCACAGCATAGAAGCTGGGCACCAAGTGTGAACATCAAAGAAGAGGTCAACTGTTGGGAGCTTACATACTCTCTCCTAAGGGGAAGGGGAATGGGATTACAGGCAACTTTTGAGGAATAGCAAATCATTTTTCGGAGAGTGAATTATATTATGGGCTTGGAGAAACATACAGGGGGCCCCCGGGGCAGACTGCATTGAGCATCAGAACAGAAATGGCTCTCTTTGGAATATTGAATGGGACCAAAATAGAAGACAATTGGTGTGTGACAGGCGTCCATCCAGGTGAGCCGACAGACTTCAGCCTTTCTTCCTGGGACACGGGTTTAGTTGACAAAGCACAGAGGTGATCGTCTTCTTCCCTGATAGCTGGACTTTGAGCAGAGAAGGAGATCTCAACGTGAAACCTCTTCCATTATCTGCTATTTTCCTTATGGCTTTGTTTTGTTTTGTTTGTTTTCGTTTTGTAGTGCTGGTGATCAAACCCACAGCCTCCCGTGTCATACTACACCACCCCACCACATCCTCAGCCTTTTTTTTTTTTTTAATTTTTTAAATTTTATTTTAGGACAGGGTCTCTCCAGGTTTCAGAGGCTGAATGGCCTCAAGCTTTTGATCCTCTTGCCTCGGCCTCCCAAGTAACTGGGATTACAGGTGTGCTCCATCACACCCAGTCCTCTATTTGCTCTTTAAATTCCTTTAATTAAAAACAACTGGCATATCAGGACACTATATTTGGGGTGACAGTCCCTAGATTCACCCTCCCCCATACTGCCAAACCTTACTGATTCTTTTTTTTTTCAATTTTTTTTATTGAAGTGAATACACCTAAAATTGGCCATCTTAAAAAAAGAGGAAAGGAAAAAAAAACAGTAATAAAATTTACCTTATTAGTAATTTTAGAGTGCTGCGTCCATTCATCGTGTGCGCACATCACCACCGCCCATCTCCAAGACTCTGCATCTGGTAAAACTGAAACTCGACACCCAGGAAACCACAACTTCTCATGGCAACCTTCCCCCAGCCACCGGCTCCTACCATTCGACTTTCTGAACCTCTGAATTTGAATGCTCTCAGTACCTCGCATTGGTAGAATCATGTGTCTTTCCATGTAGGCTCATTTCAGTAGTGAAATAACATCCTCAAAGCTCATCGGTGTAGTAGCACGTGTCAGAGTCGACTTCCTCTCCTCAAGTTCAGTGATATTCCATGACGTGGAGGTACGTTGGCTGGTGCATTCACCCACCCATCAGGAACGCTTGGGTTTCCTCCTCATTTTAGCTATCGGGAATATGCTAAGTTGAACATGGGTGAACCTGTCTTAACAAGGCTCGGTTGCCATTGATAGGTATATGCTGTACCCAGAAGTCAGGCCCCAGGGATCCTTGTTAGCGTTGAATAAGGGATGGCGGGTTTTCCAAAGATCGGAGGAGATTCACACTTTGGGGTGGAGGTGTGGGGTTCTGTCCTTCTGAATCAGAAATGGGAGTGAGTGTGAGAAAAAGAGAGCTGATACAGAGGTCAGAGACCTGGCCCCCCTGTCCAGGTTCCTTTGGCATGTGGGGAGCGCTCCCAGGGAGGCTGGTCTCTGTTTTCAGATAAGGTGATCTCTAGAGCAGATCACCCAACCTCCCCGCCCCCCCAGAAGGGCTGGCTCCCCGCTCTTTTTGTGCATTTCCACAGCGCGGAGCTGGTGTTCCTCGCTGCAAAAGGCATCACGAAATCACAAAGCGGTGACCATGAAGATCCGCTGTGAATGAGAACATGACCTTCAAGAGGGAAGGCCTCGTTTATGAATTTTTAATGTAAATAGAAGCAGAAAAGAACCTGCTGGTTATGGGGGAAAAATAAATAAGTAAGTGGCTTAAAGGACAAACTTAAGAAAAAACTCCCAGAATCTCTTTATTTTCTTTTAGAACAGAGAGATAAAAGTTTGGAGGAAAAGAGGGGAGACATCAAAGATAGATATATGGCAACTGTTTGGGTGAGCTTCTTTCTTCGCTGTGACCATAAGACCTGACGGGAGCAATTTTAGAAGAGGAAAAGTTTATTTGGGGCTCACGGTTTGAGAGGTCTCGGTCCACAGATGGCCGACTCCGTTGCTCTGTGTCCGAGGTGAGGCCGAACATCTTCTTAAGAAGAGAGAGACAAGAAAAGAAATGTAGGACAATCAGAAAACAGAGACAGAGCTCTGCTCAGTAAGGACAAAATATAAGCCCCAAAAGGGATGGCCTCAGCAACCCACACCTTACCTGCCTACAGTTACCACCCAGCTAATCCCTATCTGTGGATCAATGCACTGATTGGGTTAAGGCTCTCCTAAGCCAATCCTTCACCTTTGAACTCTCTTGCATTGTCTCACGTGAGCTTTGGGGGGACACCTCGTATCTGAGCCATAACAACCACCAAAACCAAAGGATGGAACCCAAAAGCCAAAATTGTAGCCTTCAGCAGTTGGGCACAGAGTTTAGGAGAACAGACTTCAACACTAGAGATACCCAGGCTCAACTCTGAGCTGTGGCCCTTTGAACTGTGTGAACTCGGACAACTTGACCTTTCTTTTTCGGGTTCTTGGATTTTTCTGGAATGGGTTGGGTTGACTCGTGAGGATAGTTAGGAAACCATGTGAGGTGATGTTTGTAAAATAAGACTCGTGAAAGGTTTGAACACAAATGCTCAATAAATGTCACCTGTGATCGGCTAAATGGTGTCCCCTAAAAATCCCTATGTGGAAACCCTCACGCTCGGTACCTTAGCACATGACTGTATTTAGAAACAGTTCCTTTACGGCATTGGTTAGGTTAGGCCACGAGAGTGGGTTTTATATCCAATCTGACCTGGTGTTCTTCTCAGAAGAGGAAGTTAGGACCCAGACAGACACCAGCAACGCTCAAGCCCCAAGGTAGGTCTGGGAGGGTACACTCAAGGGGCACCATCTGCGAGCTAAGGACAGTGGCCTGCAGAGAAGTTAGACCTGCCAACACTTTGTTCTTGGACTTCTAACCTCCAGAACTGTGAGGAAATACCTTTCTGCTATTGAAACCGCCCGGTCTGTGGCATTTTGTCAGGGCAACCTAAGGTCACTGTGTCACTGAGACCAAAATACTTGTCAAGAACCATTTAGAGGAGGAAAAGTTCATTTGGGGTTCACTGTTTCAGAGGGCTCAGAGCATAGACAGCCAACTGCTTGCTCGGGCCCCAAGGGGAGGGAGCGCATCATGGCAGAAGGGCCAGGGGAGGAAAGCCACTCAGGTCATGGTGGAGTCAGGAAGCAGAGAGAGAATAATAGAGCCACAGGAAGGATGCACCCTTCCAGGGCGAGTCCCCAGTGACCCTCCTTCTTGAGCCGTGCCCCACCTGCCTATAGCCCCCACCCACTCAGTCCATTCAAATTAGGACCCGCTGATTAGGTGACAGTTCTCATTATCTACTCATCGTGTCTCTGAATATCTCTGCATTAACAGGGGCTTTGCGGGGACACCTCATATCCAGACCTAGCAGCCGCCTACCACTGTTATTAGTTAAAAGTTCAAATGCAGAGCTGGACACCAAGGTGCCCTTGGATTTCCATTCGGATAAAGGCGCCTCGGACAGTTGTGCAGAAGCAGCCAAGGTCCCCGCTCATTCCCGCCCTGCCACAGTGACTGACTCGCTGCAGACACCACCTCTGACTCACAGTGTCTCTGGTCTCCACGGTGGGGCGCAGAGCTCCGGAGAGACCATCTGACAGGTGCCATGAGTCAACTTCAGGGAAGTCCCTGGGATCCCAAGACCTGCTGCCTCCCCAGCCCTCAGCTCCTCTGGGCTAAGCCAAGAGGATGTCACCCCGAAATGACGAGGCTCTTCCTTGATTTCCATATCATCCAGACTGCCTTCCCTCCAGAGGTCAGAATCTCAGCCCAGATGTGGTTTTAAAATAGTCCTTTCCAAAGCCCCCAATTTAAAACCTAATTACATGTTCTTGCCAATTAGAGAAGGAGTCACCTTCCCCAGTAATGGCAGAGTCCATAATAATTCATAGTCTGAAAAAAAAAAAAACAAACAAAGTTCTCTGCATGCTCTTTCTCCCCACTGTCTGCTACCCCCACCAGCAGATAGCGTAGGAACTTCTGCCATGATTTATCATTTTGGTAAAGTTATCTCACCTCTGGCCCCGATGAATTATCTGTGAGACGGTGTGGACAGCGCCTGCCGTTCGGGGGATCGAAGGAGCTCGTTCGTTCATTCATTCAACCGATATCTATTGAGGAATCTCCTAAGCACTTATTCTTTCCTTCAACAAATATTTACTCAACATCTACCATCTACCAACCTTCCGGGGACACGGCAGTGACTAATATCCACGGGCTCTCATTTCTCAGAGGTAAATATTTCACTGGATCAGGGGGTCTTACAGGACACGAAAAGTACCCTACACAGACCAACAAACAAAAAGCTTAATCTCTCAGTTAAGACAGAGGATGAATTTTCATAAGTGAGCTCTGAGAGGAAGGCAGAGTCCAGATCAAACAGGGCCTCCCCGGCCTCTGTCAGATTGAGGGGGGCGTTAATTCAGGGCATGATACAATGGCTCTTAAGATTGACTGCACACTGAAGCCACCCAGAAACTTTCAACAAATACCGAGGGTGGGGCCCCAGCCCCAGTAACTGTCAGAGAACTGGTCTGAGGTGTGACCCCGGACATTTGGGGTTTTTTGCTTAGTTAGTTGGTTGGGTTTTTTGGGGTTTTTTTTTTTGCTTAGTTGGTTGGGTTTTTGGGGGGGAGTTGGAGGGAGTATTTTGGGGGGGTGGGAATACCAGGGGTTGAACTCAGGGACATTTGACCACTGAGCCCCATCCGCAGCCCTATTTTGTACTGTATTTAGAGACAGGGTCTCACTGAGTTGCTTAGAGCCTCTCTCTTGCTGAGGCTGCCTTTGAACTCGTGATCCTCCCGTCTCAGCCTCCAGAGCCGTTAGAATTACAGGCCTGCGCCACCGTGCCTGGTGCATTTGGGGTTTTTAAAGCTCTCTATTGATTCCAAATGGGCAGCCAACTTGGAAGGATTAAAGGTTGAACAGATGGGAGCTACGGAGGTCACTGAAGGAGAGCGTTAAGCAGGAGAGGGACAAGATCTGTCTTTAAGAGAGATCACTCTGGCTGCCACACAGGTACAAGACACAACAGTGCCCAGGATCAATCAATACCCAGTGTTTTCTTCTCTCCCTGCATCTGACAGCCCTGAGACATCTAGAATTGCTGAGCATTGCAGAGGGAAAACTCAACCAGAGATTGAGAGGTAGGCGTCTCACTGAAGGTCTGCCCCCAGCTAGTGACTGTTTTTCTTTCTCTATTCCTGGAACTGTCCCTCATCCCCTCCGGGACTCGGAGCCTCATGTCCTGTGATTTTCAGATCCAAGCTTTGTACCTTCCTCAGCAACTCCAAGGAACACCCTCCCAACGCCCCCCTCCCCAGGAGAGCAACTCCAAAGACTGTTCAGAAGCAACTTGGAGAGTTTATTTTGATGAAATACAATAATTATCATGCTTAGCAGCTGTTGCTATTTAAAATAAGAAAAACCTGGGCTTGAATTTAAACTGTTTGGTTAAAGCATGGGCCCCCCACCCCCACCCCACCACCACCACCACCACCACAATCTGGTCCAACAAAATCAGACATTATGAAATCCACAGAAGAACTGGAGCTTGTTACAGGAAGTTAAGATGCAAATCATATTTTGTTTCCAATGAGCCCGATGAATGCATAATTTTCCACAAAGAAATGCTCTTGTGTCGGGGATCCTTTTGCCAAGAACTAAAGTTCTGAGCCGCAGCTGTTAGCAGAGTCTGATTGTCCATTTCAGACCCAGGGATTTCTGCTTTTCTAAGGAGGATTTGGAGCAAAGGCGGAAAGAGGGCAGAGCCACTCTCGCCAATTGTCTTCTGGAATGTTCCCTCCAAGATCCACTTGCGCTTCCTTGACTACCATTTTGACCTCCAAATACACAGAGACTGGATCTCCCCCCCCCCCCCGTCGAATCTGCACCTACCCCCACCTTATTATCCATTCAGAAGGGGCTTCCCCCTCCACCCTTCCCAATATAATGAGTGACCCCAAGTTCAGCATCTTCTCTGAACTTGGGGTCACTCCTTATATTTCTATAGAGTCTTTTGAGTTCAG